CCACAAGGTCTAGTTGCTACGCCCTTCACAGGCTGGGTTTGTTGGCCATGTCCATCCATGTCCACTTATAGTCACAAGTGGGCAAAGAACCACCTAGAAAACTCAAGTGAATTGCCTGGATTCCATACATAATCCTCCCTGTCCCCATCATGTAAAAGCAACCCTATCTCCTCCTGACAAAGAGAGTCACTTATCTCTGCCAAGACAATGATTTCTCTCATTGCCTCTTTGTCCTTCGACATAAAAAAACCACAAATACCAAGGTGGCAGGCATCGCTTATAATTATAATAATGAGGCACTTATTTGGCACACTGAAGAAAGGAGCCCCCCCTTGATGACAGAGAATCCTAACCATTCAGAGCCTGGAGTCACAGAGATGGCAAGCAAATGCTCCCCAGTGAACCACTGAGAGGAATGGCAACTCCTGCTGCTACTCTTAATCCTCATGGCATATTCATTTCCTAGGGTTGCAGTAACAATCACAAACTAGGTGGCTTAAAACAATGGAAAATTTATGTACTCACAGTTATGAAGGGTAGAAGTCCAAAATTAAGGTGCTGGCAGGATTTGTTCCTTCTGGTGGCTCTGGAACAGGAGAACCTGTTCCATGTTTCTCTTCTGGCTTCTGGTGGTCGTGAGCAATCCTTGGCATTCCTTGGCTTGTAGCTCTGTCAGTCTAGTTTCTGATTCCATCTTCTCGTGGCCTTCTTTTTGTGTGCATCTGTCTGCACGTCCACTCCTCTTCTTTTGAGGACACGAGTCTTAGGATAAGGGCCCACCCTAACCCAGTATAACCTCATCTTAACTAGTCACATCTGCAAGGACCTTCCAAAGGTCACATTCTGACATTTCAGGTGGACATGAATTTTGGGATGACGCTATTCAACCTACCACACACACATTTTTTCTATTAGGAACACAGTGGACTAGAAGAAATGTCTGTGATTTAATGCATATCTGTGGCTTGCAGCATGGTATGAGATCCTTGCAGAGCATTGCCACTGGGCTGCTGCTTCAGTTGTGTCTTCAGCACACAACTGTAACATAACATAAGGCAGGAAGTTTCTGGGTGGTGTAGTATGTGATTTGACCAGTGGATCCCATGGTCACAGGCCTATTACTGCACGTCCTTTGCTTAAAAGTTGATCCCCTGAACTAACACGTTATGTGGTGTCGCGCCCGCCTCGCCAGCAAGGAGAACGCGGCAACCGGAGTTCTTCTGACAGCACTTTAATGGGGATTGCTTAGCTGGTTACATGCAGAAGATGCCGAGGCGTTCTCGGCGGCTGCTTATAAAGGCAGTAAGTACACTGGGCATTGTCTGATTGGATAAGGCACTTGGAAGGGAGGAGACAAACTCTGCACATGCGCTGAGCACTTGTTTGTCAGACTAACAGCAGGGTTTGACCAGGAAGCGGGCGCCATCTTGGAATGGCGTTGCCACCTCGCCCCACAATGTGGGACTCTCAAACACCCCGTAAGCTCTCAGGTACTTATGCTGGATGAGGTCCTACAGGAAGGAAAGGTAAACCTTTCCAAGAATGTGAATCTATTCCACTGAAAATGAACCACTGGCCTTTCCAGTATGGCTAATCTGATCTGTCTCCTAAAGCAATGATGCTCCATCAGGGGCTCAGCACTTGCGTCTGCTGCTGACAGATCTGACATTGGCAGTGGTGGTAACTCAATCGGCCTTGGTAAGTTGGAGAGACCATGCTGTCTGCCCCAGGGGTGTATAAGTTTCTAAATGCAGATGGCAAAAACTTCCTGTAGAACCCGGGGGCCTGCATTGTGATTCTCCTAGTGCAGCATAGCACAACACACCTTATCTCATCACTAATACCTCTAATATAATAGTATCTAACCAATGGTCCAGAAAGCAAGGTGACTTCCACTGCAACCTAGAGCTGCTACAGAGCCCTTTCCTGCCATAGAGCCCCTCTCAAAGTCAGCAACCTTTTGTATCAACTGGTATAGGAACCAGAACAGTATCCTCAGTGAAATATGCAGGAGGCAGTGAAATATGCTGCCTCCTAAACTCAAGAAGGATCACCACGCATTGTGCTTCCTTCTTCAGGGTAAGAGGGTGCATGTAGTCATTTGCTTTATACTTTGGAGGTAACACATCAGTCTGTCCCTCACCACCGGAAACCTAGACATTTTAAGAGTGTGGCAAAGGGTTATCTCCTCCCTCTGGAATATGTCTTACCAAAGCCTCAATGTTCTAGGCACTTCCTGTTCATCCAGACTTATCAACAAAATGTCATTAGGTAACAGATCTATGTTCTTTAGGATAAAGTGGTATAGTTAACAAAGCCTTAGGACAAAATTGTAAATGTATATTGTTATCCATTCCATGTGAATGCGAACTGTTAGGTTCCCTTTTCATTGAGAAAGAAGAATGCATTTGTACAAATCAAGATGATAGATACCTCATGTACTTGGACCACATCTATTTGCTCTAACAAAGATACCAAATCTGGCGTAGAGGTTGCAATCAAGGCTACTACTTGGCTGAGGTTGTCTACAGATCTATCCAGTTTCTGCAGAGGCCAGAACGGTGAATTAACTTAGATGTGATGAGAACATTGCTTCTGTGTCCTTTAGATCCCTAAGGATTGTACTGTGTTCTGCCATCAGTCAGGCAATACTATTGATTATTACTATCTTGACTGGAGTGAGCAGGAAGCATGAGGCTAGGCAGTTTCAAAGGCTTCCACTTGGCCTTCCACACACCCAGTAAAACCACTGTAAAACCAAGCTTAAGCTTGGCCGGGACTCCTTTTATTATTCAACTTCTCCCTGACTCTAACAGGGAAGCAATAAGGACACTAAATTTCTGGATATGATGATTCAGACTCAACATCCCACAACCCATAAAATGCCTTATATTCCCCCTTCCCTGAGGGTAGAATTACCAGAACAAATGGCTATAGGTCCCTTTGGGGCAGCACTGAGGGAATCGTTGCCCTATATAGATGCCATGGTGTTGTAGAGTCCTTCCTCCCACCCAGCAATCTCTAGATCTCTTACCCAATGACATTATGTTGATGAGGCTGGATGAACAAGAAGTGTCTAGAACATTGAGGACTTGGTAACACACATGTTTCAAAAGGAAGAGATAAACCTTATAAACTTTCAGAAGATAAACTTCATAAACTCTTTGCCACTCTCACCAAACTTTTAGGGTTCTAGTGGTGAGGGACAGTGAGTGGGCTCCAGAAATTGAGCAAGATGTGGTAACCTTTTGAGAGGTGACCACCCTCAGTCTCCATGTAATCCATCCTTGTCTAATGGCACAAACCTAGTAGTACTCCTGGCTGCCCATTTATTTTGCCCCTAAGGGTGCTGTGTTGTGTTCACCTTCTCCATAATTGTTTCCAGGTTAGGTCCCCTTGCCGGCCGCTCTCACTTTGATAGTCATTACGTTAATTGCAACCTCCTGAATCTGGAAGCTAGGGATTGCCACTTTTGCCACTATTTTCCAGTCTTGTCACAGATTGCTATCAGCAAGCTGACTTGTTTTTTCCAACTGTTAGAACTGGCCTACAGAGAGCTACCACTAAACTTTTTAGGGAATGCTTATGCCTTGTCGTCTGTGTATGTCTCTATAGCCTTGTCAAATGGTGTGTCCACTGAGCCTTCCCATGGAACATAATCATCTGATGGATCCTCCAGCCAAACAGTCTATCCATTCCAGCACACCCACTTCCCTCAACCTCCTAAGTCCTTTTCTGCACTATGTCAGTGATCCTGGCATTTCAACTTTGCTCAGAATGGGACATTACTTTTTCCATGCTTCTAGAAGCCAGCCTGATAATGAGTTCACACCATCTCCCAGGATCCTAGCTGGGTGTTAAAGCCTTTAATTTAAGATAGCTCTTCTCCTGCAATCCAATGACCCAATATGGGGGCTACCATCAAACTCCACCCTAATTTTATGTTCTAACTCTCCTAAGCACTCTGATTCCAGTCTCAAGCATACTCCCCCAGCTCTTCCCAGCATATGCTGGGCAATTCTTGCAGTTCCTTTGGGGTATAGTCTATTTCTTCCCACTTCAGGTCCAGCACCTCCCAATTAAGCTTTTTCACATGCCACTGGAAGCCCTCTGGCTTTCACATCTGGTTTTCCATTGCCTTTTACCATCTTCAGCTGTTCATTATATCTCTATTGAACAATGGCTTAACAATAGGCATCCAGCCCTGTTATCCTCATAGCTACAATTTACTCCATACATCTAAAATGCCAGCCATGCATTCTCTTCTACAATCACACCATCCTATTATAATTCATTGCCAATGTAAGTTGTAACAATTAGAACTTGTGCCAGGGCCTGTTCTCCACCTGTCATCAATGATGGGATCTGGCTTACTTATCTTTGTGTATTCCACACAATTAACTTCTGCTATCCATATTAGCAAAAAATGAAGGAAACAGTTTATAAAAAATAACGGAATGCTTTCCAAACTAAGTTGAAAATACGGAACAAGAAATAAAAATATCAAAAGTATGTAAGTGAAATACTAGATTTATTCAAAGAGAAATGAAATTTCCTGGGTAAAGCATCTGTAATATTACTATTTCTGATATTGTGTATCTGAAAAACGGATGAGTAATCATCTTTGTCAATACATTTAGGCATTAATAATAGGAACGGTTCAGGACATGGATTGTAAAGAAAGATGAATGAGTCAAATGCTAAAACATATATGACTATTTAAGATAACATGAATATTTAATGAAAATTTATAATATAGTAACATGATTTTCCTTCTGTGGACATAAAAGGGAAAAATACGGTAATCCGTTTTACCCAACACATTTTACAAAATCAGACACGATGAATTTATAAGAAGTGTTTTCTTAAATAAAAACAGCAATTTCATTTCAAACAAATATATTACCATTCTATTCCTTTAGCCTATATATATGTATCTAATTGGCAAAACCTACTAGATTACTGAAATCAGTTAACAAATTCCATGATGCTTCAACTGCTTGGATCAATATACATCTTACTATTTGAAATTCATTTTTCTTATGACATAAACTTGATTACTGGTTCCTATAAAAATGCTATGCCCCACTCCTTGGCCCAGTAAGTGTAACTAGTCTTTCACACAAGGCTCAGCAATGGTACTTTTAAACATCCACACACAATTCCTCATCTACACACCATTCATCCACCACACACATCCCTGCTCCTCTCGCACATGGCCACCAGTAGGCAAGCAGCTCTCCTAGTTGTCTTGTTCCTCATAGTGAGCATAGCCACTGGCATAGGTCCTTCCTAAATTCAAATTAGTAAACAAATCTGATGACTCAGTATCTGAATCCTTTCTGCTTTCATCTTCTTCCTCTTCATCATCCTCTGCTTCATATTCATCCTCCTCCTCTTCGTGGTACCCAGGATCACCATACTTGTCAGATGAAAGGTTCTTCCAATAAGCATCATACCCAGATGCTCCATCTCCCTCTTCGGCTCCAGTCTGCCTGCCAAATTTCAGGGAGCGTGCTACAAAAGACAGACATGTACATGGCATTTTCTTAGGTCCAATTCTCTACATACTCATTTTTCTCTACCATATATACAATTACATGAACTTTACTGGCTGCTTTATTCCCAAATGAAAAACTATATTATATTTTACTAATTTTCTCATGTAGTAAGTCTATATACACATTGTAACAAATAATAAAGATTACAATGTCATTTCATTAAACTTAAAAAACAAAATTAGACCAACAGAAAACTCCAAAGATAATAAGGCATATTAAAAACTAAAATACCTTTTGTTTGGTTAATGACAAATTTATTTTCAAATCACATAAATCACACAACAGAGTTGATTTCCTACCCCTACATTTTTCTTAAAACAGTTATTTTATAATGCAGATGCCATGAAAAACAAAGGCTTTCATTTCTTCTACCTTAATAGTTAAAGTTTAGTGCAGAAGATCAGCAAAATCGCCAGTCTTTTAGTTGCAAAAATCACTGCATTATGCAGCTACATCTTTGATTAAAGAAAGTGCTGTCAGTTATTTAGAATTATGGTACCATTCTGTTAAAAAGTCAAATTTTTCTTTAACAAGACTGTGAGCTACATTGCTATAACCATGTTTGTAGTAGTCTTACTCTTTCATAAAAAAGTTATATAATACAACTTCCTATAGTAGTAATATATTACATAAAAACAGCTGCTCAAATACCACACACCTAAGAACAGTTTCTGAATGAATCTGATTCTCAAGTACTGAAGATTACTACCACTTGAATATTAAAAATTTATAGCCACTTAATTATTTAAAAAGGAAGCCTCAACAAAAACAAAAACATCACTTTTTTTAATCTTAAATTTCAGTATTCACTGTCATTAACTAAGGCATATATCAAGTATCAAAGTGAATACTAGTATATTTCTTAAGTTAAATTGAAAAATTTTACCCACATATTTTCCTAGGCTATAAAATTGCACTTGCTTAAGAGAACACATTCATCTTCTCAAACACGAAGAAGTAATAAGATGAATGGATGGAATGGAGAAAAAAAGATATGCTTTGTCTAAGCATTAAAGCAAAATCACTCCATTGGTATTTTAAGAAGAGCCTTACTTGACATGCTAAGATCCTTAGTCTCCTGAGTTTCATGTCCACATTTAGGGCAAGGAGGCCGTTTTCCTTTTTCTTGCTTAAACACCTTGCTCCTTGTATGATCATCACAGAAACAAGCCTATATAAGATAAGCAAAATAAAGTAAATAAATAAAAATTTTAAAGTTTTTGTTGGGACCAGTCATAGTCCTCATTTCAATTTCTTAAGGAAAATGGTTTTTGCCAGTACTCTTCTGAACCATGATCTAACACAAGGAAGACTAACTATACACAGAATATGAAATGTAGGCACATTTAGCCATTCATAAATACTTGAGTATTCACAAATGATGATGAAATAATGGTGAACACAGCCTATTTACTCACGGAGTATATGGTCTGGGAACAGAGACAGGGAAGAGGCAATTATTAACACAAGACATTAAGCACAGAAAGAGAACATAGGAGGGGTGCTAAGCCAGGCATGGGATTCAGGAAAGGATTCTTGGGAGACAAAGTCTTAGCTGAGATCCAAAGGAGAATGGGGATATAGTAGGGCAAACAAAGATGGAATAATGTTCTAGGTAGAGGAAACAGTGCAGACAATGCTTGAAAGCTTAAGAGCTTGAACACCTCCATAAACTGAAATCCATTTAGTAAAACTGGAGCAGAGCTGGGAGAGAAATAAAAGAGTTAGGAATATGGCCGGGGGTGGTGGCTCATGTCTATAACCTTAGTACTCTGGGAAGCTGGGACGGGAGGATCACTTGAGATCAGGAGTTCAAGACCAGCCTGAGTGAGAGTGAGACTCTGTTTCCGCTAAAAAAGGGAAAAAAAAATTAGCTGGGCATGGTGGTGTGGGCCTGTAATCCCAGCTCCTCAGGAGGCTGAGGCAGGAGGATCACCTGAGCCCAAGAGTTTGAGGTTGCTGTGAACTAGGCTGACACCACAGCATGATAGCCCAGACAACAGAGCGAGACTATCTCAAAAAAAAAAAAAAAGGGGGTTAGGAATATAAGAATAAGAACCAAAGAAACATTTCTGAGAGGAAGTGAACTGGCTGCATCTGTTTAGTGATCTTTGACAAACAGAAATGCTAGAGGCAAGGACTAAGGACACAGAATATTATAGAAATCTTTATTTTAATCAAACTCTTCTAAGTAGAACATTCTGATATTTATTAAAATATGCTTCTATACTTTGGTCAGAATGTTCTCCATAAATATAAGATATAAAAAGCACTGAGCCAGGATTCCAGAGACACAGGTTCACTAGTGGCAACTCTACTACTAGCCAACTGGATGACCACTGGAAAGGCACTTAAGGCTTTAACTTCAATTCTAAAATCTCAAAAATAAAAGAATTAAACTACATAACTTTAAGGTCCCTTACAGATTAATTACAGTTATAAATAATCCAAGGACTGGTGGAGGAGTAAAGGGATTAAAAAAAATCTAAAAAGAAAAAATATGTAAGTATACCTTACAACGGAGACATGAATGTTGACCAAGCCGATTGCATGAAACACCTGTGGGAAAGAGATTCCTCTTAAAATCCTATCCATTATTTGGTTCTTAGATTTTTCCTTTGTCTTTGTTGAATCACTAAAAGCCTGTGATAGAATTATGGCCTTATCACTCACAGCTGCTTGTCTTTTGGGTTCAAACGCTATACAACATGTAAAACCCCCATGCCTCCAATAAAAGTAATCCAATTTTTATATTATACATTCTATGGAAGGCTAAGAAAGGCTCAAAAATGTTATACACTTTAAATACTCTTTTAATCTTTGAGAATCTTATACATATTGCAAGAATTATATACGTATAGTGTGTATGGTATATGTGATGTGTTGTGTATCTCAGATAGATGATTTATGATCTTTAAATTTTTAGATGAGTATAGGAATTAGCATTTCATTCCAGAACAAGAACCAAATTAAAGGAGGAGACTATTTGGGGAATTTCAGTCTTTTTCCTATGATGTTAACTACTATTTAATAAGGGCTTTCTAAGGGCCAGGTACCACATACTACTGCTTTATATGGATTCTGATTTCAATTAACCTTTTGAGAAAGAAATTATCCATAAAGATGACACTATTAACCCAGTCAATAACACTGGTTCTCAACTGGAAAATACACGAGAATTGTATGTGCAGGTTAAATACAGATGGCTGGCACCCACCACAGACTTAAAGACAGAATCTCCAGGGACGAGGCATGGGCACCTGGATTTTTTTTAAAACCTCTACAATTATTTCTAATGCACACTCCTATCTAAGAATCACTGGAACCAACTAGCAGGAACAAACTTAGGGTGGTATCACCTGCTTGAGGGCATATGGAAATAAGAAGGGAAGAGAAAGGGTGATGCTGGCTATTACAATAACTTGAAGAATAATATTTGGTACACTGAACAAGGAACACTAAGTCCTGCCATTCCTGTTTAAGCCTACAAAATGAAGAACTGACCCCACCAATATACCACTAGCATCCCTGTTGAAAAATTCAGGGCTACATGTTCTGAGTTTTCTCTAGAAACAGAAAATAGATACTGATTTAAAGTACAGTTCGTAAGAGGCTACATAAAAAAGCTTGACTCCTTTTTCATTAAATTTAATAATTATACTATTCAGAATCTTGGGTATAAAGAATATTTAATATAAAAAAACTTACATTTAAATGTTTCTGCCTCTAAAACCTGGCAGCTGGCTTGATGCTCAAATTGATCATCTTCACAGAGAAAGTTATGGCAAAAAGAACAACTGAATATTCTGCCTCCTATTAAATTAAAAAACAAAAACCAAAATGTAAATATGATAAATTTTAATTTAAAAAATTTGGATCTAGAAAACTTCTGAGAAGAGATGGAAAGTTACTTGAAAGGTATACCAAAATTACACAGCAATTTTTATTCTGGTAAAAGCTAAAATGTGAAAACTGTTGAAGTATTTGAAATTAAACCATGAAAAAGTGGACTCCTGCTATGCCCTGGCTACTTATATAATACTCACAGTACTCAAGGGGACTACCTGCTTCCCCTTAATTTCCATTCCTACCTACTTAGGCAAATAATACTAACATTGACTATTACTGCTAGTATAAATCCCTTTTCCAACTAAACTGCTAATCCAAACAGTACCAGTAGTTAAGACTAACAATATCCTTTCCCCCTTAAAAAACAATCTCAAAAATAGCATTCAGAATGCTTAAAAGTCAGCCTTCACTTAAAACAAAGCTCATTACTTGTGTCTAATGACTCACCATGGTCCCATACACCTCGTTCACATTCAACACACTCAGCATCAGTAAGAGGGCAGGCACAGGCATGTGTACTGAGACATTTCCTACCATGGCAAACCCAAGCTTCACAGAAGTCACATATCGCGCCCTGAAGCAAAGGAACAAGAAACGTAATCATTGTCACTTGACCAACATTGTTCAACCACAGCAACCATCAAAATTGTATACATTTCACAATTTATCAACCCCGAATGATAGTGGGCAGCTTCATTAAAGAAAATATTTTATTTATTCTAAACCAAAAATAAAAAGGATTTTCTGAAAAACAACTTGACCAACAGCTATCCATAATATATAAAACTTAGCTATAAATCAAAAGAAAAAGATGTAAAGGGGAACTATACCCTAAGTACCCTAATATTATTAAATTAAGACAAGGAGCTGGAAGTGTTGCCTTCAAAACAAATTCTAATTCAAATGAAGTTTGGAACCTATAGTTTAGCCAGGCTTCCTCAAACTACAGCATGCGGGCCACATGGGGCGGCCCACCGAGGACCAGCCTGCCAGGTGTTTTTGCCACCACTGCCTGTCCTGCTCAGTAGCCGACTGGTCCAGGGCCCACAGTGCGCATGTGTGGAATGTGCGCTGCACTCTCCAACAGCCCTCCAGTGGTCTGAGAGACAGTGAACTGGCCCCCTGTTTAAGGACCCCTGGTTTAGGCTTTCTTGTCTACAGCAATTCTTGTAACTAAACTGAATTTTTAAATACTATTAGTTCTAATTTAAGAAAATTCCTTTTTATCAGTGTAATTTATCACATAGCTTTTCTAGAATAACTGAGAAAATACTGAATTTCTGTAAGCTTCTTTTATCTTATGGCAATTTATGCTTTAAATCATTATTATATATCTTTGTGGAAAAAAATCAAGTAAAATATATGGAACTAAACTACAAGGCAAGACTTTCCAATTCTATATCAAGATCAGACAATAAGAATATATGTTTCATTAACACATTGACACCTACAGAATATTAAGAGCTATAAAGACTCTTAAAAGAGTAGGACTAAATGATGTTTCCTTTATAAATAAAAAATGTGAGGACCAAGACTAAACCCAAGTCCCAGAGTTGGATTACAGCTGAGCTGAGATTTAAATCCAGGTCTTTAGAATCTCAATTCAGCATTCTACTATTCAAGGCTTTGTAACAAAAGTAGGAAACAGCAAATAGGAAAATGTTTTTTGGCTTTTAAATATGGGCTAGCAGTATAGCTAGCAAATCCTCAACTATATCTCCTGGATCAGCCAGGGTTCTAGCAACAGAGATGATTCTCTCAAAGTAGGTAATCTAGGAGAGTTTAAAAGAGATAATTTACAAAGGACAAGGAAGGGCTTAGGACAAGCAGGAAAGGACTACCTAGCCATACAGGGAGGAACCGTGGCCCTTAGGAAAAGGACATAACCAAAACAGGATAACCTGGAAGGGAGTGAGATGGGAGAATAAACACCCAGATGTTATTCTCCTCCCATTCTCAGGGGGAATTTGGGTAGGCAAAGAGAAGATATCCAGAAAACTGCTTATCTAGAATTTATAACAAATGACTCTATTTAAAGTCTTCTTATATAAGAAGAAATCATTCACATTCATACAACACAGTGAATTCAAATTAAAAAAAATAATTTGATAAATTTAAATAAGCTACCAAGGAAAGTTGAAAGGGTTTTTGAATAAAGATAACACTGACAATTTTAAGAAAAACGGAATTCGAAAGATAATAATTCTGGCTCCTTGCTTCTATAAAATATGCACACATGAAATGTACCACATAAAGGTCTGCTTCATGATAGATTATATGTCCTTGGAAATTTACCATAAATAAAATATTCCATTTGACCCAAAAATAGTATTACTTTCTTCAAGGACTAAAATTTGAAACTGAAGCATAAATCACACAACAGAATATACTGGTTAAGTCATATTTAAAAAAATATATATTTCAGTAAAAAAACAAAATGCATTAGAAAATCCTATTATTTTTATTGGATTTTCTTAGAAAAACCCTCATTGTAATGAAGCGATTACATTTCAAATACATACACTTTTTTGAAATGTAAAGCCTTAAAGAAAATTTTTAATCCTAGGTTCTTTTGGAACTAAGTTGCTTATTTAACAAAAGGCTTGAATGTTTGGTTAAGCAGGGCTTTCAGTATAGTAAATGATGATTTATGGTGTCTGGTTAAGACACATTAGAAAGGTCCCACTGAGAAATGAATTTTTGTTTAGGTCAATTTAGGTCAATAAGTTTCCCAATAAGAAACAGATAGAAACAAATGGGTAACAGGGAAAATCATATAAAAAGCATGCCACAGATAATCCAGTTAACTGCGAACAAGGGACAAAGTACTGATATTTAGAAAAACATAACCATTAAACAGAATGACTTTTTCTTATCCTTGGAAAAGCACTATCCCAAGAGATAATGACAAGAAGCTTACCACCATTGCAAGGCCAGTACTGTATACACCAGCATGCTTTATGACACAATCTGACGACTTCATCATGCACTTTGTTTTCCCTAATAAAGAAAAAAATATGCACTGTTAGTCTTCCAAAGTAGTACAATAACATAAATTCTATATTTTCTATGAATTCTAGAAATGTGATTTTCTGGATATCTTCTATTTGCATCCTCAGATTTCCCCTTAGAATGGGAGAAGTGTAAGTATTCACAAATTTCCCTTTTCATCTAGCCCAAGTTCCTGTAGAAATAATTTAAAAACAAATGGAATGAAACCAGTGTAGTTTACTAAAAAGAGAAAATGGATATAGCTGAGATCTCATTACCTGAGTGAGATCTTTTGAGATTAGAAATTTATTAATAAATCTGTAAAAATGAACTATATAATAAAGTAATTTATATGCTAATTCATGTTTGTACTAAAATCAGAAATTGTAAGCTATGCTTTATAATCTAATGATCATTTTAACGGTTTCAAATCTTACGAATTTTCAGATAAATCAAAACAACCACAACGAGTAAGATGTGCAACGTTTGGGGGATGGACATGCTTGAAGCTCTTATTTGAGGGGCAAGGGGGGCATGGGCAATATAAGTAACCTTAACACTTGTACCCCCATAATATGCTAAAACAAACAAAAAAAAGAAACTAGAAAACAAGAAAGAAATGCTTTAAAATGAATTTCACATTTTATAATTAACAATAACAGTATGATTTAAAGTTATCACTTATTTCTTTCCACAGAATACCTCAAGACAAACCAAATAAGGACTATGCAATTTATCTGATTCATTTAATTTTATCCATACATAAAAATTTATAAACATAGCCCCCAGGTAAACATTTTTCCAACAGAATTTTGAAATCATGTCCAAGTAAACACAAAAACAAGAATATAGTGACATCACAACATAGCTACTCAAGCTCTGATCTAGCAGCAAATTATATTACCAACCCAAAACACTGTTATAAAATTTGCTTATCAGATACTATTTGAGAGTTAATGATGACACTTTAATGATCCATCTGAAACTCTAAGAAACAGAAGATGCTAAATGTTCCATTATCTTGATTTCCTGAGGAACAAATTTAGAGGATAGAAAATGGGAAGAAAGACAAACTGGAAATGAGAAGCAGCTGGAAATGAGAGACAGCAGCGACCCAACTGTTCCATGTCTAACATCCAGAATAAGAATCAGTAAGTGTGAAAGGCACCCATGTATGGCACTACAAAATTCAAGCCCAGTGACGCTGAAAATATAGGAAGGTCCTAGCAAGATCCCATCTCTTAATCTTCCACAAAATCAATTTTCTCACTCTACATTCATTTACCTTTCTAAAATAAGGATATAAAAACTGGCAGATGAGTGTTCCATCTAGGCCAGCTTTCTCTTTTTCATTAATTGTAGAACTAAAAAAGATACCTTCTTTGAAAGCTAAAACTACACTAAAAATATTTAGGGACTGGAGCCCTAAAATTACTAATTTTCTGTAGTACTATCATACATAAACACATTTAAGTGGATATACCAGTGGCAGGGGTAAATCTGGAGTTCTAGAGTGAACAGATATCTTCACTGAAGGTCTTTACAACTTTTAACATATAAATATGTAATAGAAATCTTCCAGATGAGAATGAGAGAAGGAAGCACACAGTATTTCTAAAATGTATATATTTTTCAAGAAATACCTATTACTATCTCAGATAGTCTGTGAAAGACTATTTAGGAAACACCAATCTTGCTACAATTTAGTTTTATTTCAAATAATCATTTTACAGTAAAAGTTTCCATTTGTACCTGGGAAATGGGTGCATGACTGAGGAATTCTACTTAAATCACTTGTGAACACATGTGAGGAAATTCAAGAATCATATGGTAAGCATGAAACAAAAAAACTACTGATTACAAAATTAGCACCGGTGGAATAAAAATGGAATAATAATAATAATGTAGAATAAAATTATTCCCAATGGTCTAATAGACTGCAGGCAGTATCAGCAGGAATCGAAATTTAGAAATTTAAAAAAGTAAACAAACAGATATTGACAAGACTAAGGTGGTATAATTAAAAATTCAGGATCACCAAATGTTATCAGTCTGAAATCTGATCTTTTAATGTATAAAACAACTTATTGGCAACCTATATCTAAATTGTACCTTAATTATTTTCCAACATTACATCAAAGAGGCAAAACAAAGACCTGATAGTTTTTTGGTAAGCCAAATAACATTTTATGGTGTTTTATAATGGTCAGGTGTAACTCTATAAGCAACCATAACCATTGTAAGCAATAATAAGCAAGTTCAAATTGATTAAGTGCTAAACAAAGGCATGTGTCCTTAGTTATTATATACTTACCACACTGTGCACAAATTGGTAACTTCTGTACAGAATTACAAAAATAGCAAAATGCTCTATTCTTCTGCCTCCTTGTCATGTAAAATAAAATTTAAAAAATATAGTCAGTATCAGATAAAGGGTTAGAGGGACTATTTTATTACATATAGATAGAAAGAGAAACAAATAAAACTTACCTCTGACACTTGTCACATTCCTGTAATATGTAAAAATATCACATTAATTTTTCTGTTGGCTGAAAACTGCAAATTTACTTGCATTATAAAGAATAGCCTGTTTTTCATGTTAAAATTTAAGAGACACTACACCAAACCCTCCAACAAGCATCTACACATACTTCAATAACAAAGGTATGCAACAAAGGTATACTCTAGGAATATCACTCTAGAGGAAGAAGTGTATTATCACAAACGAGGCTAAATACAATGGTAGTTTGTTTTTTGTTTGTTTTACAAGGAATCAAATACTACATAATAAACACAAGAAACAGCAGAGAATACAAAATAATTAACCTCCCAGAAAATCTAGATTCCAAAACATGGTTTTAAAAGCTCTCCACAATCTGGTCCCTAACCACTTTCCAAATCTTTCTGGCCTATACTCTTTAGATTCAAGTGACTAATGGTCAGCCATTCCCCAGATATGTCTTACACTCTCTCTTCTCCATGCCCTTTACTTATTCTAATACTTTTTCCCTGAGAAGTCCCTCTTCATACATACTCTGCCTGTTGGCTATTCTGGTGATAATCCCATCTTCTCTGTGAACTGTACTCCCTCCACACACACTCAACTTTATCACCTCTGAGTCCTAACAAATATATTGTACCTTTATTGAAGCACTTAACCAAAACCTAGACGTCATTATGTATATTTATGCACGCCAGTCATTTATTGTTCTGTGTGCCCAGCATCTTCCTCCTCTGGAAAGGACTCTGACACACAGAAGGGAGTCCCCACTGTCACATCTGTGCTCACTATCGCCCACCACACAATAAATGTTAGTCCTGGGATGGGCACAGGCGCAAGCCCTTCTCTGAGAACAATTTGTGATGTGAGATATGTCAGGTATCAGGTTCCAGTTGTCCCCAAGTTCCAGTTTATCATCCTCTTCTCATACATGAGTTATTCCATTATTTATTCAATAAACTATTTTTCCCTAAGGTTATTTAAATTAGATTTCTTTTTTTTTTTTTGAGATAGTCTCACTGAGCTTGCCCACGCTAGCTTGCCATGGCATCAGCCTAGCTCAGAGCAACCTCAAACTTCTGGGCTCAAGCAATGCTCCTGCCTCAGCCTCTGGAGTGGGTGGGACTACAGGTACTTGCCACCACGTCCAGCTAATTTTTCTATTTTCAGTAGAAATGGGGTCTTGCTCTTACTCAGGCTGGTCTCCAACTCCTGACCTCAAGTGATTCTCCCACCTAGGCCTCCCAGAGTGCTAGGATTACAGGCATGAACAACTGCACCAGCCTAAATTGGATTTCTGTCATTTATAAACAAATACGTCCTAAGTAATACACAACACAACTGAGCTATAAGTTTGTGGAAATAGGGACCATGTAATTCACCTATGTATCTATCACAGTGCCTAAAATAGTACCAGCACAGAGCAGGTGCACAATAAACACTTGTTAAATTAAGTCACATTAAACATTTCATATATGTTTGATGAAACAAAAGAAGGGGGGAAATAGACGAAGAGTGAGAATAGAAAAAGCAGAGAGGAGTGAAAATAGGGAGAAGTGTAATAACGCAGAGAAATAGGGTCAAAGAAAAGAAAGAGGTAATGATGACCTAATAATCATTTGCTTTTTCATAACTTTCACCATTCAATGCAGCCCGGAGATCATCAAGAATAACCAACTCGGCACGGGCATGTAAGGTAAAAGAACGAGAAGCCAAAAGAGATGTCAAGAAAAATAGAAAGTTCAGAGAAGAGAAATCAAATGAGTTAAGAATTGTGATGAGAACTCAACTAATAAGACAAATTGAGTTAAGGCATTAGAGAAGCTGGAAAATGTCAGTTTCTATTATCTTTTCTTGTTTAACATCTATTACCAACAGTATGTAAGGTAATATGCTAGGTTTTATAAATATTATAGATCACACAAAAATTACTATACTCTGTGTTAGTAAAAACAACAGGTATGCTTCTAACATGGATTTCAAATTCAGTAATAAATACAACACTGTATTCATTGCAAATTAATTCAGATGTATTTCAGATAAAATTCTATATAGTTTTTAAACTATCAACCGATATTAACAACAACAACAACAAAAAAAGCTGTTACCATTGAAGCATTACATGGGTGTTTAGCTAAATCTATAGTGCTTCTTGATGCTCTTAGTTGTTTTTCACGTTCCCGGCGGTTCTCAGCCTTCTTCCTCGCACCAGTCTTTTTTTTAGGCATTTTCCTCTATTTCTACACAAAAAACAGAAACATTGCTTGACTGCATTTACTATTTTAATACACCAAGAAATAGCATACCAAAGGGGTTTCATTCTCATTAAATTTTAAACTCAACTGTCAATTTGACGGTTAAGCATGCTTTAAACCTATATGAAACGTTAAGCACACATTATTCCAAATAAAGTAGATGACTTTTAAAATTAGGCACTTACATGCATTACCAAACAATTCTAAAAAAGGTAAACATCAAAAAAAATTTATCCTAAAAGCCAAAGTTTTCCTTTCCCACTAAGAAAAAAGTTTATTTGATGTTAAGTATTCTGCACCTCTTTAAAAACTTAGGCATATATCATTAACAAGAAACCATAAAAAAGTGCATAATTTACCCAGTTTAAGTCACTTTTTTGAGCTACACATTCAGGTGACCTGATGCTGCCAGATTTGAAATATATCAAGTCTAATTTTTTCTATGTAATATGTAAATAAAACATCTAATAGGAAATGACACCATTAACTACAAAGTCACACCATTTTCTCTGAAGATATTAAACATATTAGCTGCTTTGACTCTGAAAGCTGCTCTTCTCTCTACATGTAGTGAGCAAGGAGTTTTCATAGGGGTCAAGCTTATGTTTAAGAGTATACATTCACCATTTATATCAAAGCAAGGACTTTAAAGCCGGTTTTCATCACTTAGTTGAAAAAACTACCACACTTACAAAACTGAAGTTTTCTGAATTGAATGCCCAATCAAAAACCAGGTGGCAGACAGTATGGTAGCCTCTCAAAAATAGGGACAGATCAGTCAAGAGATTTAATAGGTGGTTACTTAATTAACGTTGAAGCCACTATGGCACCCCCTTCCCATATTTAAAATGACACAATCTAGAGGGCAGCTCCGGCAAAAGGAGCTCAGAAAATAGTCACAAGGTTATCAGTAAACACGAGGTGATCATGCGGAAGAACTTTTTGAGTTATCTTAGGTGTCTTTTGAATCCGCTGAGAAATTTAAGCCTCAATTTCTTTTTTCTCCAATTATTTCTGGAAACATGAAAAAAAAAAAAAGTGAACCTCTTTTCTCAACCTTACATAGGTTCAAGCCCTCTTCCAATAACGACCAAATTCTTCTGGACACTGGGCGTGTCGCCAGAAGAGGAAACAAGCTCAGGGTCACTGCACCCTTAGGAGTAAAGCCTGGCGTTAGAAGACCCGGTGGAGTGGACGGGGTGTCCAGATGAGACACGGCGGAGGCGCCACGCGGCTCGGGGAACCTACAAACGTCACCCGTCCGCCGGACACCCTACCTCGCGCGCGCTCCGGGCCGACCTCGCTCACTTTGGCGGGGAGGCCGGACTCACTCCGGGGACCGAGGGACAGGGAATGGCGAGAGGCTGGCCTGTGACAGCAGTAAATCCAACTCGTGGACCAGGACTCCAGAAGAAGCTACTAAAACCGAGGAAAGCTGGCTGACGGTTTCGGGCATTGGAAGAAGAACCGGATGTCCTCTTACGTCACAGCGTCCTTACGGCACACGTCGACAGGAAGGGGCCCGCCCACTTCCGTTCGCTCCGTCCCGGCCCCGCCCCCTAGTGGGAGACAGCGTTCCCATTCCCAGGCTGAGGAATTGCAGGAGAAGGAAGGGGGTGCCAGGAAGAGGAGGAAAAATTGAGAAGCAAAAGGAGGGAAATGGAGGGAAGTCCTCCTGAATTTTATTTTTTCAGCAAAAGGAGAAAGCTAAAAGGAAGAGGAAAGTGAATTCACAGGCTTGTGCTGAATCATTTGATTCAAACAGCATTTCCTGTCTAATTCTTTTGGAAACCTTTCCATTATCTACATCTTCCTAGTTTCACATCCCACCTTTTCTTGGTTGCTGCACAAGCTGTGCCTTCAGTTGCCTGATGAAGATCTCTACTACCCACTTCTGTTTATTTCCATTGTGCCCTTTGGATTCCATTCCTTGGTGAACAAATCCTCCCACATGCTCTGCCTGTAATGTGTGCTGTGCCTGATTTTGACAGAAACCTGACTGTCCTTTCCCTGCTTCAAGGTCTCTTTCTTTACAATCAGCACCTTAACCTTGGCATAGCTGATCTAGCTGGAATTCTAGTTAATCTCCTTTGGAGCTCTGCCACTCTTATGGTTAAGAGCTGGGCCTGTTCCTCAGCTTTTTCTGCCTTAGCACTGCAGGAGATTAAAAAGCCTCTTTATTTGCTGCCAAAGTGGTGTGGATGGAAAAATCCAAACCCTGAAATATTTGAAAGAAGTTTATTCTGAACCAAATTTGAGGACCATGTTCCGGAGCCATTCCCAAGAAGCCTTGAGCAAGTGGGCTCACTGTGGCTGAGTAACAGTTAGGTTTTATACGTTTTCAGAGAGACAAGAGTTACAGGTAAAGTCATAAATCAATACATGAGAGGCATACATTGGTTTGGCCTAAAAAGATGGGGCATCTGGAAGGTGGGAGGAGGGCTTACCAGGTTATAGGTGGGTTTAAAGATTCTTTGGCTGGCAATTGTCTGAGAGAGTTAGGCTTTATCAAAAAGACCAGAAAGTATATGCTTAATTTAAGATAAAGGTGTGAGTACTCTGGGAGGTCCAGACAGGAGAATGTTTTAAGTTTAAGATTGGCATCTGCTAGGATGCTCGAGTTAAGATAGGGGCTTTTTATCTTGTAGATGATGTTAATGCTATATTGGAATCAGGTTGGGAAGTAAACCACTGCTTTATTTGGTTAACAAAAGCTGCTTAGTTGGAATTTCCCATTTGTCAGCCTGACTCAGCTGGCCTCCTTACCATTTGTCAGTCTGACTCAGCTGGCCTCCATAGGAAGGAGTTTTGAGCAAAAGAAAAAGATCAGAGTTCAGTCCTCAGTGGCCTTTTGAATTTTACTTGTAGATTTTAATAGCTAATTAACCACTCCTAACCTTTTTGCTATTCCCAAAAAATCAATGTAGCAACCGTCAATGCCACAGTCCTTAAGGTTACTATTCCCTCATATTTTTCAAATGACTTATACATTTCACCCACCGGTATATTACCTTCCATTAGAATACCACCCTAATTCATTACTGATGTAAGTTTTAACTACTGCACTGTTACCTCGTGCCAAGGTCTGTCTATCCTACACCTGTCACCAATGAGGAGGTTGTTACTGACAGTCAGGTGGCCTATGATTCAAGTCACAAGTCACAATTTAGTCTCCACTTGCTTGGACCACTCCTGGCACCAACTGTTTTAGGTTGGCTTCTCCAGAAATTCTGAGGCAGAGAGGAATATAGAGAGTGTCTTAGGGAATGCTTTTGGGAACACCACCTGTGGAATAAATAGCAGGAGTGAACAGAGGAAAGAGTTGACCTATAGTGTAGTCTCTATGAGGGCCTCAGCTTCAAATCTGGGATGTCCCTTCAAAGTTGTCTAGAGTTAGGGCAAGTGGGCTAGGCCATTATACACCTGTGACATTCAGTCATTGGATAAGAGCTGCCAAAGGAAAATGGTGTAACCTTGGGCTAGACTGTGCCTGAAGAGGGACTGTTGCTGAATTGTGTTAGCTTTCATCACTTCCAGCACCTCAAGAAATGTCCTTCCTTACCGAAGAGGGATCTGGGTAGCACGTCCCAGTATTCCCTACAAAGAGTGATGATGACAAAATAAAGAAATAATCAGACAAAGAATCTTTACCATTCACAGACACTCACTGAAAGAATTCCAAAGGGTGAATTTCAGGGAGGTGAAAATGGAATTCAGAAGAAAAGAGGGAATATAAAAATAATAGTGAGGAATCAATTTATTTACTATATAGGGTAAATCTAAAATGTTATCTGTATAAAACAACAAAACTATAGTAAACAATTTGGGGTATGAAAACTACCTGGAACTGAAATATAAATTCAATGCAATTCAAATCAAATCCTGACAGAGATTTTTTTAATGGAATTTGATTAATTTCTCCTTAAGATTCATAGGAATGAATAAAAAACCATGAAAAGCCAAGACCATTTTAAGCACAAATGGAAAAATATTTTATTTATTATAAATCTCTAATAATTAAAACAATTCTGTATAGAGTCAGATGTCATCAAACAGGCCAATGTAATTCAAGAAGAAGCCTAGATACTGACCCTTACATTTGGATACTTGGTAAATGGTAGAGTTTATACTAACATTAGTGAGAAGAGAGGTATTGTTCAGTAAATGAAGCGACTACTGTTAGCTATCCATATGGGGGAAAATAAAATTAGATCCTTATTTAACAGCACACATAAAAATAAATTCCAGATGGATTAAAGACCTAAATATACAAAGTAAAAATATAAAACTATTATAAGAAACTATATGAGAATGCCTTTATGATAGGAATGATTGCTTAAGACACAAAAAGCAAATTTTTAAAAAATGAATAATCTATCTAACTAAATTAAAATTTAGAACTTTAGCATGACTAAAGGTATTATAAATGAAATAAAAAGGCAAATCAAAATGAGGGGGATGAGGTTTGACACCCATGTAACTGACAAAAGATTTGTGTACAGAAGAAATGGAGAACTACCATTTCAGTTAGCCAACTACAAACAACCCAAAAGAATTATAGGTAAAAGACATGAACAGAAGATTTTATAGAATAAGAAATCTAAATAGCATGTAAAATATTCAAACCAATACCACAGTGGAACATCATTTAACACTTATAAGACAAGCCAAATTTTAAAAGCCTGGCAATTCAAAGTATTAATGAAAAGTGGAAAAACAAATTTTAAGAAATTCTTGTGGAAGTATTAAATTGTTAAACGTATTTTGAAGAACCATTAGCAATGTTGATTAAAGGTAAACGTGCCAAACCAAAAACTCAGCCATTCTCCTTCTAGGTCTCTACCATAAAAAATTTATGTGCAAATATACAATGATATCACAGCACTCTTCAATATCAAAAATTTTTAAACTATCTTTTATTAGGAAAAGAAACAAATTATAATATGTGCTCTTCATATATCAATTAAAATTCATTAGCTCTTATTATCAAAATGGGTAATCCCAAAACATTATGTTTGGTGAAAGAAAAAGCAAATTGAAATAATATCATATAGGTAAAAGTGTACAGCAAAAAACCAATTGTATAACTTATTCATGGATATGTACACATTTAGTGAAAGTACCAAAAGATGCCTAGAAATGACACTAACTTCATATTTTGGTTATCCCTGGAGAGGGAAGAAGAAGAGATATATGAAGTGGGGCATTAGCTATACTTTTAGTTGTCAGAACAATACTAATAGCTTCAAAACTATAAGCCACCCAATTATCCCTTAACAGGAGAATGAATAAATGAAACGTGACATATTTATATAAGGAAATATTATACACCAACAAGAATGGACACAATACAAGCTCTCATAACAATATGGATGAATCTCACAAAAATAATGTTAAGCAAAAGAAGCCCACAATGAAAAAAAGCACACTATAATTTTGTTTACATAAGTTCAAAAATAGTCAAAACTAATCAAGTTGGAAGTCAGGATAGGGTTTACTTTTGGGAGAAGGCAGTGACAGAAAAGGGTCACGAGCAGGGTTTCTGGAATACTGGAAATATCCTGTTTATGATAACTGTGTTCATTCTGTGACCCTTCATCAATCTGTGCACTTATGATTTATATATGTTCTCTTTTGTTACAAGTTATTTTTTTAAAAAATACTAAGTAAAATAGAGGCAGAAAATCCAGATGAAAGCCTTAAGAGCAGATGGTAGAATGGTGTTTGCCAGGGGCTGAGGGGAGTGGGAAATGGAAAGTTGCTAATCAGCACGAATAAAGTTTCAGTTATACAAGATGAGTAAGTTCTAGAGATCTGCTGTACAGATCTAGAGAGCTGCTCTTTATAGCAGTTCATTCCAAACATTTACTTGCTGTGACATAAATAGAAAATAATATTTATAGGGCACACAGGGATAAATATGACAGATCTGTTTGTGACTTATTTTTTCCCTTTCATTTTCTTCTTTTGGTGGGAAGGTAAAATCCATACTTGTCTACCTTCCTGAAAAGTTTGCATTTATATGACATGCACTTCTCATACCTATTGTTTTTAGCAGCAAGAGGATTTTTTCATTTCTGGTCCCCAACTCAAGGGCTCAGGTCCAGGCACACTTTTGATCCATTTGCGGCACAAAAATGTGCTGAGACAGATAGTGTGGAGATCTCTGGACTACAGAACTCCTCAACCTACTCTATAAATGCTTCTCAGTTTGCCTTCTTTTAAGGAGTTAAAGTTTGTTTAATTCTGCAAATAAAAGTTCATTTTCTAATATGGTATATACATACAATGGAATAATTATTCAGCCTTTTAAAAGAAGGAAATCCTGTCTTATGTGACAAGATGAGTGAGCCTTGAGGACATAATACTAAGGGAAATAAATCCCAGACACAGAAAAACAATGCTGCATAATTCCACTTATATGTAGGTATTTTAAAAAGTCAAACTCATAGGAGCAGATGGTAGAATGGTGTTTGCCAGGGGCTGAGGGGAGTGGGAAATGGAAAGTTGCTAATCAGCACGAATAAAGTTTCAGTTATACAAGATGAGTAAGTTCTAGAGATCTGCTGTACAACACTGTGCCTATAGATAACACTACTATACTGTGAATTTAAAAACCTGTTTAGAGGATAGATCTCATGTTAAGTATTCTTACGACAATAAAATACATACATTTTTTTTTTCATTTTCCAGCTCATAAAATTACATTCCCAATTCAGACACCTATGTTGTCCACCTTTTGTGCATTCCACTGTCCTTAAGAATTAGAAGGGAAATATTTGTGGTTAACAAAATAACTGGATGATGATTCCATCTCAGTTATTTTAAAGTATCACATTCTTTAGTTAGGCTGATAAATGATCTTTTAACAAATGTTTTGTATGTTTTGGAGCAGCCTTTTACCATTCATACTCGCCTAGCAACTTTTTTCTCTAGTTATCACACCCTGTTATCCACTGGCCGGATGAATTGTAATAAATGCTCTCAGTACCTCTTTTGAGCAATTAGCTCTGGGAAGAGGGACAGGATTTCTGAGTATCTACTACCTCTATTTCCTTCATAGTTTACTAAGATTTTCATATTATTATTTCAAGAAAATATGAGAGTACAAACATTTTGGTTGCATTTTATATCCTTGCCCCTCCCTAGCTAGGGTTAGAGGTATGCCCTTCCCCTCCACAATGCTCACCACCAC